ATTGTCCATTTTGGCGCCCCTGTGCCAGCTACGTCCTGGGGGGGAGTTTCAATCCTATTTGTCTGATCGTCATCAGAAGGTTTACATTGGGTTGTCTCAATCGGTGGTTTTGGAAAATAATTGGGGTGTACCTCAGGGGTCGGTACTGGGACCACTCTTATTTCTTATTTTTATAAATGACCTTGCATCACTAAATATTACCGGGAAATTTACCTTGTTTGGAGACGACACCAGAATTCTATGGCACTGTGCTGACCATCAGAGTCTAAAACGGGCTATTCTCACAGATCTTCAGCAGCTCAAATCTTGGTGTGATTCTAATCTTCTGGTGTTAAACTTAGCCAAAACAAATATTTTGTCATTCAGATGTGATCTAGGACTCGCCAACATCCCCAATATTTCTATCGAATGTAGACCTGAGACAAGTTTTTATTTCTTCTCTCAGAATTTTATAAATGTTTTAGGTAGGTATACAGGGAGTCCCAGGGAAAACAGTCCACCCCGATTTATTAGATTTGGGATGAGAATCTGGGAAAACGCTCGGACACGTCGATGTTTGATTTGAGGGGGAACTATTTTTCAGTTCTTTTCATCTCCGTAGCTTCAACCCCCTAGCCAGGGGGAGAACAACCCCCAAAATTTGAATAGGGAATAGGGGTCGTGTCATACCTCTTTTTAAAGGTCTCATCGAGTTCTTTAAGGCCCTAGAATTTCATTTCAATATTTTCATCCGTAATGAAATGACAGCTAGTCAAAATCTTGTAAATAGACTATTGTTTTAGTAGGAGTAAAAGCGGTACTTATCTCTTTTAATATAAATACGTGTAAAAATACCTACAATTTACAATTCTCGTGTACACCTTATTAATAATAATAATAATAAAAAACTTCAATTTCAAGTATTTTCATTAAGGATCTGATGACCCCCACTAAAACTAATAGGCTATTTCCAAGATTTTGACAAGCTGTCATTTCGTTACGGATGAAAATAACGAGACAAAATTCTAGGGCCATAAAGATCTCGATGAGACCTTTAAAAAGAGGTATGACACGACCCCTATTCCCTATTCAAATGTTGGGGGTTGTCCCCCCCTAGCTAGGGGGTTGAAGCTACGGGGATGAAAAAAACTGAAAAATAGTTCCCCCTCAAATCAAACATCGACGTGTCCGAGCGTTTTTCCAGATTCTCATCCCAAATCAAATAAATCGGGGTGGACTGTTTTCCCTGGGACACCCTGTATAGTCCCATCTTGCTGAATGACATTGTGATTTATTATTCTAGTCCGTTATCTGATATCATCAGCTATAATAAACTCTGGATCTGCTTAATTAAAACACGACGCAATTTTTATCAAATCCTTATGGAAAGTCAGAGAGGCAATTTATCAATTATATGTTGGTAGGTACCTACTTCTCATCACCAAATAGCATAGTTCACAAGAAAATTCAGTACCTATTAGACTTCAAAATGTTTTGAAAATGGAAGAAAAATTAATTGAGGCCGTGCGGATTCGATATAGAGACTAATAGCGAATTCTATTGGTAGAACTAGTGCAGAAAAATGTATTTTTATCTCTTTCTTATACAAGCTGGTAGAAAAAGACATGAATCCACTCAGTGCGCACTAACCCTTCCAACAGAATTCGCTATTAGTATATGCGAACAAAACTAAAAACTGAATAGCAGGAGCTGCCATTTTTTCTGCACTGTGATCTGCCTGCGAAATGAAAACTGCCATTGAATTTGCGCCGTTACTCGCGCTAGCAGTTTTCTCCCGCAGAAACTCGCCGTGATTCACGCTGCCTCACGTCACCAAGCTGCGTTTCATTTTGCGCCGGGCCTAAGGTAGCATCGCATGGCTTGGCAAGCCTGGCTCGCTTGTGGCTTGGGCTTGTCTTGGCTCGTCCAGAATCGGCTTGTTGATCGAGCTAGGCAAGTGGATGCGATCCCGCGAACGGTGGATCGTTGCAATCGTCGTTGAAAGTATACGAGCCAAGCCTGAACAGCTCGCGATCCTTTGACTCGTGTCAAATTTACCAACAAGAACAGGGAAAGTCCAAGTCACACAAAAAATAGCGAGCATGCCCAATACCACGGCGCGTGGCTGCGCAAGTCACGAGCTAGGTTTGCCAAGCCACGCGTCCTGGGATGCCGGCTTTAGATTGAATGTTGTTGCATGATTTATCTGATGAAACATTCATTGGGCATCCGCTATCCAGCATATTGCACGCGCCTTCATTAAGGCAATTTGGGAATGGAAATATCGCATGAGGGAACCCTATAGATGAAGCAATTAAAGATCGGAATATACAGACACAAAGTAATATCCCTACTAAATGGAGTACTGCGGGACCAAAATATCAACAAAACTAGAATATACAACACCATAGTCAAAAGCATAGTCACATAGTTCACAGGTCTGGGCCACTAGAACAGAACTGCAAAAATGCTGGAAGCAACTGAAATGGATTTTTGGAAGAGAGTGGCAGGCCGGTCAAAAATGGACAAAGGATAACAAATCTGAGATTTAGGGAAATTATGAACGTAAGACACACAATAGTAGATTATATAAAGGAGAAACAACTGATTTGGTTTGGATATGTATACAAAGAATGGCAGATACAAGAATACCGAAGCAAATTATTGAGTGGAAGCCAGGGGGAAGAAGAAGACGCGGCAGACCAAGAAGAAGCTGGAGAAGTGGTGTAGATGAGTAAATGAGAGACGGAGGCTTGGATGAGGATTGCCTGGATTGACAGAGATGATTGGAGAGCGGGAATCGGAAGACGTAAGACGTTATAAACCGATAATTATATATATATATCATCGTTTATGGAGTGAGGGGTTTGGGTTTCGGCAATTTCGCACAGACATACCCGCAACATTTCAGGTTCCCTTTGCAACTTGAAAAAACCGTTAGGTTTCCAAATTAGTTTCAAAATAAGATATATGAATAGCTGTTTCAAGCCAAAGGCGCATCTAGATTAAAAAACTCTATCTGGGTCTATAATCAATACCACCAAAATGATTTTCAACATAGTCAATTTTCCTTTGAGAGAAGAGAACCTCCCTTTGATTTTAATAGTAGTAAATTCTGCCTCTGTCCTAAATGGACCTCTGACATTTCTAACTGAATTTTTTAACTTCACAAAAATGATGATAATAATAATAATAATAATAATATTAAAGTAAAATCTTACTGGCGAACAAGAACTTCGTGGTGCTAATCTTTTTTCCTGACATAACCGACTGAATTGATGCACTCTCACTTTAGTCTAGGAAAATAGTCGAAAAATACATGTATTGCAAAAAAAAAAAAATCCTACCCAAATGAACTTTTCAGGGATGATAGGGGGCGGGTGGGTGATCATAAAACCGAAAATATCAAACATTCACCCCTCTGGCGTTTTGCGCTATAGGGGCTGAAAGTGCGCCATTGGCGATTACTTGGTACCTACCTATTGATTTTACAAAAAAATGTTTCAAATAAAAGATGTGCAACATTATTTGATCTACAATGTTTATCTAAAGACTTTTTTGATTAAGGCCCGTCTGTGGTCATAGGGGCCGTTTGAAATTTTATAATGAAAATGAAAAATTTTAACCAACGTGAAAAAATTTTCTACAACACATACAACATTTTTGCTTTATGAAGTTTTTACTCACCCCCTGCCGTTTTTCAATAGGGGTAGTTTAAAGTTTATTTATTTTTTCACAAAAAAAAATTCCTTATAAAAGTTTTATAAAATTATATTTCCTACAATTTTTCCCAATCAACTTTTTTGGTAACTCACCCCCATTCAGCGGGGGGACACTTCTCTTAGGGAAATTTTAGTTTTTAGTGGTATATATTAATTTTTTTTTTCCTTTTCTCGCCTTTAGTGCATATAAAAAGGTGCAATTAACATTGTATTAAAAGGATTTTTTTTCCACCACCTTTTTGTGTTTAGGGGTAGTTCGCCTATTTTCAACTTTACAAAAAAAAGTTATAGAGAAAAGTTGCTCAATAATAAAATGAACAAGTTTTCTTAATAATTTTTTTTTGTAAAGTTGAAAATAGGCGAACTACCCCTAAAACAAAAAGGTGGTGGAAAAAAAATCCTTTTAATACAATGTTAATTGCAACTTTTTATATGCACTAAAGGCGAGAAAAGAAAGAAAAAAATTAATATATACCCCTAAAAACTAAAATTTCCCGGAGGGACGTGTCCCCCCGCTGAACGGGGGTGAGTTACAAAAAAAGTTGATTAGGAAAAATTGTAGGAAATGTCATCTTATAAAACTTTTACCAAGAAAATTTTTTTTGTAAAAAAATAAAAAAACTTTAAACTACCCCTATTGAAAAACGGCAGGGAATGAGTAAAAACTTCATAAAGCAAAAATGTTGTATGTGTTGTAGAAATTTTTTTCACGTTGGATAAAGTTTTTCATTTTCATTATAAAATTTCAAACGGCCCTTATGACCACAGACGGCCCTTAATCAAAAAAGTCTTTAGATAAATATTGTAGATCAAATAATGTTGCACATCTTTTATTTGAAACATTTTTTTGTGAAATCAATAGGTACAAAGTAATTGCCAATGGCGCACTTTCAACCCCTATAGCGCAAAACGCCAGAGGGGTGAATGTTTGATATTTTCGGTTTTATGATCACCCACCCTCCCCCTATCATCCCTGAAAAGTTATTTTGGGTAGGATTTTTTTTTTTTTTGAAAATCGACAATTTTTCTAGACTACTTTTAAAACCGTTTCTCACCAAATACCTACTAGGCAAAAACACTGTTTTTCCTTATCTCGGTCGATGTTTTAGTTACTTTTTAAAATAACAATAACTATTATAGTTCTCTCTGTGCGTGTGCCAAGATAAATATACATTTTCAACTGATATTTTCGCAGTAATTTCTCTTTTGACATTGTATAATTTTGACTAGGACATTTTCCATGGTAACTAACCAACAAATTAAAGCTAGGTTTACATAAAAACTCAATCTTTCGTCTAGGTACCTACCTACCTACTGTTCCGGTGAGACATCTTTAGAGGCAGTGTGCTAGACAACGTCGGAGGAGCAACGAAGGGAATACTTCATCCTCTACCACACCGCCTCTATACCGCAGCAGTGGACGAAGCGTTAGAGCAAAAACTATTCCACTGATCGGCCTCCCTTTTGTTTTCAGCTGTGCTTTACAATGTTTGCATCGCGTTTCGGATCCTTTTCATGAGCCGTAATTGCATTGCATCAGAGCAACTGTCTTGGTATGATATATTATGTCGATGTTTACTTAAAAAATATGGTTTTTATGGAAATTAATAAGGACAAAAAAATTGAAAAAAAAAACATGGACCCAACATTTTTTTTTTCTATTTTGTCTTTATTAATTACATATTGCCTCTCGCCTGAATAAGCAGACATATTATAGTTCGGTTTTGGTTTGTAACGTCCATTTTGCGAGCATGTTTCTAATTTTTATGGTAGATGTACCTACCTAATAGAAAGTTGTTCATAATACAATGGTTACATAGAAATATTCACATTGTAAGGAACCTACAAATTCAACAATTAAAATCACCTGAAAAAGTAGACATTTTCCAAGTTTTGTTTTTTATTGAATTATTTGAGAGTTGGATGTATGTGTTAATCTAAGCTAAGTGATTCAAAGTGTTTTTAGGTTTGCTGTGATTTTTCTATTATTCTATAAATATATAGGGTGGTCCAAAAAAAACCGGAATTTTGTTTTTGAGCTGTAACTTTTTTATTTGTTGACCAATTTTCTTTTGTTTTGGCTTGTTTGAAAGAGAAATGAACAGACTAACGAATCAGGGTAAAACTTTTGACATTTGAAAAAAAATCCAAAATGGCGGACTCCTTCAAAAATTGCCTAAATTTGGATAGCGCTGGAACTTTTTTGGGACACCCTGTATAAGTTTTTTAAAAAAATTCTTAAAGCTCATCATTTTGCGAACATTTTAAGACCTCGACAGAAAAAATCGGTTGAAAACTAAGTGAAATATTGAATTTTTTGTAATATCGAATTTCAATTTTTTATATTGACAGCAAAATCTAGGATATGGTATTTCAGCTAGATTTTTTTTTCTATTCGACATATTTCTTCTATTTCGGGCTTGTTCGAAAGATAAATGGATAGGATAAGGATTCGAAATGAAGATTTTGACTATTGAGAAAAAATTAAAGATTTCCCAGTTCCTTAAACATAGCCATTTTTAAAAAAGTTAACAATAAATTTTCTAACAATACGACTAATATTTTTATTTATAAATTTGATAAAATAAAGTAAACCAATTTAAATGGCAAGAGGCAATATGCCCTCCGTGGGCCTCAACAACCATGCTAAACGTCTATGCCAAGAATCGATAGAATTGGCTATGTTACGTTGTTCCAGCAGTTCTCCCCAACACTCAATGATTCGGTTGCGCAGCTCTTCTAAATTATTGAACGTAGCCCCATTTCCGTGGACTTTTTCTTCCAAGTCCCCCTATAAAAAGTAATCGCAGGGATTCAAATCTGGGCTATAAGGCGGCCAGCGGCCAGTCAACGGGCTCTATAAAATTCGCAACTTGCTCTCTTAGATAGTTGATAGTAAAGAATAATTAAAAGTGATTTAATGCTGAAGCATGTTAAACGGGACTACACATTTAAACTGTCCTAAGATTTAGAGCCCGTGCTGAAATTCGAAAAATTTGGTTCAGTGATGGGAAAATTTCAAAACGACCAACTACGAATTTTTCTCCAAGCTCGAAAAGCGGATGAAGGAAGAGAAAAATTCAGCAGTTATTTAATGGTACCTATCTGCAGCAATTTCTCGAAGCCACAAAGCACAACTAATTGTTATCGACCAAGGAGTTCGCTTGGATTCACGCAAGTATTCTCAACTTGTGTTCGTCATATGCTATCCGAAATCAAGGTTGTTTGAGAGAGGTAAGTTGCCTGATTACTTTTATGACGTCATCTGTATGCCTGAACATAATGCAATCTCCATAAGGCACTCTAGATGCGTCATCAAGTTACCCATTACCAGACTACCTGTTAACTTTAGGAACCTTGATTCGAAATTGAACAGCTCACACCTCAAGACTACACTTTTATGCAGGTATTTTTATAACTTACCTAGTTAACATTTATTGTTCAGATTTGGTTCTCACTTTGATAAAATCATACGTTTTTGTATCTCTCTTCTTATGAGATAAAGGTGATAAATACTGTTTGTATATAAGATGGAGCCAGGTGACATAATAACCGCTTTACTATCAACTATCTAAGAGAGCAAGTTACGGAATTTATACAGCCCGTTGACTAGCCGCCTAATAGCCCAGATTTGAATTCCTGCGATTACTTTTTATGAGGGGATTTGGAAGAAAAAGTCAACGGAAATGGAGCTACACCGAGAGAAAAAAAGGCTGTTATAACTAAAAAATTAGTTATTGTCACTAAGGAGTGTGCATAAAATAGGGGACAGCTACGGCATGTAGTTATACTAACCAATTTAAGTTAGTTGGTGATCGAATAACCTTCATAGTTGTACCAAATAGGCTTTTAGTTATTTCCACTTTATAAGTGGCTACAACAACCAATATTTGTTAGTTGCCTTTACTATAGACGTTTTCTCGCGATGGAACTGGTTGAACCCGGTTCAATTCGTTTCGAAACTGTACATTCTCGCGTTGAACCAGTGACGTCACATTGAACCTGGTTCAAAAAAGTTCGAACCGGACTCATGGCATGTTCCAAAAATAGACGCATGCGCTGTCGGTTTTGTTTGTTGTTGTTCGGTTGGATTTCTTCTTTTGTTTGAGAGTTTGAGGTTATAGTTGGTTGTTACCGTTGTCGGTTTAGTTTGAAATCTAACACTACTCAAATAATAAATGGTATTTATTAGTAATTAATAATTTCATCTAATACAACATATATGCACTTGTGGACTGCTGACAAAGCCACATTAAATTTATGAGAAACCGACAAAAGAGTTTCTCCTTTTCCAAGCCACCACAAAGTCATCATGAGTTTTTTTCTGGGGATATTGGCATTTCTCCTCCTACATATGGAATACTTAATCCCTGGTGAATTTGTTGCAATAAGCTATTAAAGGCAGCTCTGTGCACTCGGAAAAGCTGAATGAAATCGTACTCCAAGTACTCAGGGAGCCAATTTTGGCAATATGCATACGGTCGTATATGATGCTCGAAGGGGTCCAGGGATGCATAATTCAATAAATAAGCATCTTCTCTATTTATCCATTGCAGTAGAAATTGTTGTGCCAACGATGGTCTATTAATTAAAATTGTTAAAATGTCCATGATTCTTACTATGATAAGGGAACTAGTTCCTTTACTTTGGACAAAATCAAAAATAATATATTATTCAAAAAGAGATCACAGTCACTGAATACTCTACCCGTCCCGCCAAACGGAAAAAAAGTAGGGTTAGGCCATCATTCCTTTCCTTCGTTGACGTAAGGTTGTGGTTCAAATCTCTCATTTTCTCGCGTTGACACGTAATGACGTCATCTAGAAATTGGTTTAAACCGCGGTTCGAACCGTGTTCGAACCATTCGCCCCGCGAGAAAACGACTTATATAAATTGGTTGTGTAGACCTGAATTTATTTGAAAATAACCAATTTTTGGTCTGCAACAAAAAATTGTCTGGGCTGACTTAACTAATATTTTTAGTTAGCAGAAACAATATTCCGGGTTGAATCAACTGATGTCTGTAGTAAATGCTTAGTAGTGGTAGCTAATATGATTTGCTGAAAATATATATTTTATTCTCATAATTTTTCTATTGTCCCTAAATGAAACTCAAGGAAATAATAACCGATCACTTTCTTACCCTGAAACGCACTCAAACAGGAGCCATATTCCACTCGCACAAAACTTTTTTATATTTATTTTATACTGATACTGCTGTTGCTCAGCGGTGTCCATTTTGTTTGATTTTGTTAAAAATTCACGATTTGAGCGCGTGCCTACCTACCGACTCATCACATCAAGCTCGCAGTAGGCCACTCACTGTGGAATGAACTCGAATGAAGCCGAAGCCGGAACAACCAAAAAGATCGGCACAGATTTTGCTAAAGCTTGGCGTCCCATTGGTCAACGGAATCTCCCGAACATTCTACTACCGAGTGCTAGTCGTTGCAACTAGATTTCCGTTTGCTCAACTAATAATTTTGGTTATTTTTTATCTGCTTTTTTATAAAACCCAACAGCTTAGTTGCTACAACTACAATGATAGTTGGCTACCAAAATGTTCAGTTATCAGAAATCGAGGCTTAGTTGTGACAACCTAAGAATTGCAACTAAGTTAAAATGACTACCAGAGCAAGACCATAATGCTTGCGAGTACTAACAGGTATGTCGCAATAACAAATTTTTTAGTTATGGTAACTGAAAAAATTTAACTCACGCATCTAGTTAACGCGATTTTCTCAGTGTACGTTCAATAATTTAGGAGAGCTGCGCAACCGAATCATTGAGTGTTGGGGAGAACTGCTGGAACAAGGTTACATTGCCAATTCTATCGATTCTTGGCGTAGAAGTTTAGCATGGGTTGTTGAGGTCCGCGGAGAGCATATCGCTTCTTGCCCCTTAAATGGGTTTAATTTATTTTTTAAAATTTATAAATAAAAATATTAGTCGTATTGTTAGAAAACTTTGTTGGATAAACTGATATTTATATCAGTGAAACAAAAATTAATAAATTAAACTTTGATTATTAGCCTATACTTTGCTAATTTATATCGCAGCTATGGATGACTGAATGTGTTTATAATAGTTTTTATATGTAAGATAAACAGATGAGGAATCGTTTACTTAAAGGGGGTGTGCGCCAAAAAAACAACTTCATCTCAAAAAAAAGAGAAAAAAAATCTAAGAATAACAGTGAAATCCGCACCCCTCTATGAAAAATAATACCGCAGATATGGCTCTATGAAGGTACCGCATCTCACCCTATGACGTCACGAAAGCTCAAGCGACGCACGAGAAAGTGGATTTAATTAAATTTACATAATATTTTTCCTGTGTTACCTGCAATAATCTAAACAAAAACCACTCACGCGTGCCGGGAACAATCAAATTAACAATGCAGAGCGCCGCTGGACGAAGTTTTCGTGACGTCACGAGAGCGTCGTCCACACTTTAAAGCGGTATATCTCAGCGATGGTTTATCGTAGAATAACGAGGTTTGAACAGTTATTCTTAGATTTTTTTACACTAAAACTTTAATTTTTGGCGCACACCCCCTTCAAGAAAGGGTTTGTAATTCTTTGTCTTAATTGTCTTGATGTTGAGTCAGTTCGTATAGTTATTTCTATGAGTTCACACGCTCTGCTTTCCACGCTGTGTTCGATATGATAAATATATTGAATATCGATAATTAACAAGTTCTTTTATTTCTTAGTCCATTTCTCAACAAACTTATCGTTAACTTTTTCAAAATTGGCTATGTTAAAGGAACTGGGAAATCTTTAAATTTTTTCTCAACAGTCAAAATCTTCATTTCGAATCCTTATCCTATCGATTTATCTTTCGAACAAGCCTGAAATCGAAGAAATTTGTCGAGTAGAAACAAAAATTCTAGCTGAAATAGCATATCCTAGATTTTGCTGTCAATATAAAAAATTGAAATTCGATATTACAAAAAAATCAATATTTCACTTAGTTATTTCAACCGATTTTTTCTGTCGAGGTCTTAAAATGTTCGCAAAATGATGAACTTTAAGAATTTTTTTAAAAAACTTATACAGGGTGTCCCAAAAAAGTTCCAGCGCCATCCAAAACTAGGCAATTTTTGAAGGAGTCCGCCATTTTGGATTTTTTTCAAATGTCAAAAGTTTTAACCTGATTCGTTAGTCTGATCATTTCTCTTTCAAACAAGCCAAAACAAAAGAAAATTGGTCAACAAATAAAAAAGTTACAGCTCAAAAACCAAATTCCGGTTTTTTTTGGACCACCCTATACAGGGTGTCACGAAAGGTTTGTTACAAACTTCTAGGGATGGTAGATCTCGTAAAAATAAAACTTTTTTCTTAATAAACATGTGTCCGGAAATGCTTCGTTTTCCAGATATACAGGGTGGCCCAAATTTGAGCTTCATAATTGGGATCTCGGTAACCGTAAGAGATACGGGTTCGGTTAAATTATGGCAAAGTTGCGCAATTTTATGACCAATAGAATACCGTTTTGAAACTAGAAAGATTCCGAATACTTCCGGAGATATTCGGAAAAAACCAAAATTTTGAAAAATCGTTTTATTTTTTTTTCGGGCTTTATTTGAAAAGCAATTTTAAAATAAATGTCACTTGATCGTTGTAACTTCTTCCCCTTTAGAAGATGGTGGTACTAAATTTAAAGTTCGACGTTTCGTCTTCAGGCAGCCATCCTTAACTTACGTTTTTCAAATACGAACCTTGATTTTTTTATTTGCGATTTTGTCATCTTTGGGCATCCTAAAACCGATACTGTTTATAATTTTTCAATAACACGGTGAAAAAGCAGGTCCGTATTTGAAAAACGTCGGATTTCAAATTTAATACTGCCATCTTGTAAAGAAGAGAAAGTGACAATGGGAATGTGAAATTAGTTTTTCAAATTTTTTTTTAAATGAAATCAGGAAAAAATTTAAGAAAAACGAGAAATTCATTTTTTTCTCGTATAGTTTTCATTTTTTCCTGATTTTATTTAAAGAGATTGTGGAAAACTAATTTCACCTTGCCATTGTCACTTTTTCTTCTCTACAAGTTGGTGGTATTAAATTTAAAATCCAATGTTTCGTTCCTCTGAAATCATCTTTTTTTTTTTTTCTAATACGGACCTGCTTTTTTTGCTGTGTTATTGAAAAATTATAAACAGTATCGGTTTTAGGATGTGCAAAGATGACAAAATCGCAAATAAAAAATCCAGGTCCGTATTTAAAAAAAGGAAGTTGAGGATGGCCACCTGAGGACGAAACGTCGAATTTTAAATTTAGTAGCACCATCTTCTAAAGGAGAAAAAGTGACATTTATTTTAAAATTGCTTTTCAAATAAGCCCGGGAAAAAATAAAAACGATTTTACAAAATTTTGTTTTTTTCCGAATATCTCCGGAAGTATTCGGAATCTTTCTAGTTTCCAAACGGTATTCTATTGGTCATAAAATTGCGCAACTTTGCCATAATTTAACCGACCGTCTGTATCTCTTACGATTACCAAGATCCCAATGATGAGGCTCAAATTTGGACCACCCTGTATATCTGGAAAACGAAGCATTTCCGGACACATGTTTATTAAGAAAAAAGTTTTATTTTTACGAGATCTACCATCCCTAGAAGTTTGTAACAAACCTTTCGTGACACCATACAGGGTGTCCCACAATCAACGTTACAGGCCATAACTTTCTTATTTTCAAAAATAAAAATTTGAAACAAAAAAAATTATGAATGGCGAATTAGGCTCTCTTCAAAAATATTAAAAAATCATCCCCTATTTACAACCCTTGACTTTTTTTTTTCAAATGGCACCCCTATTATTTTTTTTTATTTTTGAGAAGCTTATGAAATTACAAATTTTATGGTGTATAAAAAGTTTGTTTTTCCATGTCTCTTGGGGGAAAAAAAATGGGTGTCCCACCCTTAGTCTTATACAGGCAATCACATTTTTGTCTACAAAAATAAAAATATGACAAAAAAAAATTAATTGTGTGCAAATTAAGGGGTTAATTTGCACACAATTAATTTTTTTCAATTCAAGAATATTTAAAAAATCTTCCCTAACAAACTCATCCCCTAAAAACAACTCTTGCCTTTTTTTTCAAATAGAACCCCATTATTATTATTTTCATTTTTGATTTTTTTTTTCCAACGAAACATGGAAAAACAAACTTTTCATACATCATTGAATTTGCAATTTCATGAACTTCTCAAAAATAAAAATAAAAATTAGGGGTGCCATTTGAAAAAAAAAGTGAAGGGTTGTAAATAGGGGATGATTTTGTCAGAGGAAGATTTTTTTATATTTTTGAAGAGAGCTTAATTAACCATTAGTCATTTTTTTTCAAATTTTTATTTCTAAAAATAAGAAAGTTAAGTCCTGTAACGCTGATTGTGGGACACCCTGTATATTCTATAAATAAAATTAGATTCAATTTTGGAAGAGTAGTCTCACTCATTTGCGAACCCACAAACACAGCACTATTAATCCTTTTGGCCGCAATTTGAAAAGGCTAAATCACAAAATTATAGCGCAAGCATCAAACGAAAATAAATAGACATATTTATTAAAGAGGCTTATTCTGTAATAGTTTTTTTCCCATATTTTACTGGCGATTTTGTTCGATAATGGATCGTGAATTAGTAAAAGCTGCTCATGATGAAGTTCGCAAACGGTAAGAGATTACTTTTATCAATAAGAAACTGGCTGATAATTTTTTTCAACGTTGTTCCATAGACATGTACGCAATACCCTGGAATTGCCAGAGGAATGTTTTCGTCAAATGTTCAGACCGGACGTCGAAACTGCTCAAAGTCTTTTCACACAATTGTTACATTTTCTGGAAAACGGTTCAAGGACTACCAATTGTAAGAATTGTAAAGTTGGCACTAGGAAGTTACCAGAAACTACTTGGTCAATTTGCAGCATCATCACAAAGCAATGTTAGCCGCTATATTCATCAGGTGGTAGATGCACTTGTGAACAATTTCGCGAATGTGTATATTCGATTCCCTCAGAATCCTCAAGAAACCACCGTTGTAACAGATGCGTTTTCTACATAATTTCGCATTCCAGGAATAGCTGGTTATGTCGACTGTAGTCACATCAAAATTGTTGTCGTCTTTATGAACAGAAAGAATTTTTATAGCATCAATGGTCAGCTAATTTTTGATGTAAATTTGAATATCCTTGCCATAAATGCACCCTATCCGAGTAGTGTGGAACGAAGTTGTAGTCGTTAGGTCGATAACGACGACGAAAGCTACCGACTTTGTTACTGAATAGCTTTTCTAAAATTGTCGTTATCAAGTCAGTCGTTACGAGAACGATATCGTTATGTAACGACAAGTTACAGAATAAGCCTCTGAATTTTAAATCAAAACTCTATAAAAAGTTGCAGGCGTTTGGTTGTTTGTTGCAAAATTTGACTAGTAGGGATAGGAAGAAATCCGCTCCTTTTTAATCCACTTGTGATGTTGACAAGTGCAACTGATATTCGTATTTGATTGCTTTCCTGAAACCAAGACTTCTTTTGGAAAGTTCAGTGCCCATCATGACACTGTTACATTATGTACATTCGGAAGGATCGAGTTATTTAAAAATTGTGAGTGGGTAATAAATGTCTATTATCTATAAAAAAAAAAAATGTTTATTCTGTACTAACAGAAGGGAGACTTTATTATCACATTAAAAAATACAGGACACTTATTGGATAAAAATGAACAGTTCTGTTTGAGAAACCGACACTTTGGGTTTTAAAAGGAACTTTACTTATATATAATAATTATTATGAAAATACAGCTATTCGGTGATTTTTTTGACTGGCTTTTCAGGTAATATATACAATGCAGATGTCATTAAAAAATTTGAAACAAATTATATTAATAGAAAAAATATTTCTACACTCTGTATCTTATAGCAATCAATGGTAGGAACATAACATATCATATAAGCTTCTGCTACCATTTATATTTGAATAAGATGTAGCAAAATCGTCCGCTACAAGCAAATTATTTCGAAGCTATTGCTCCAGATTTCTTGAGGCTGCCTATTTGAGAACGCAGAGAATTCTATTTTAAACAAAATTCTTTATTTTATATGATGTACATTGTTAGGACTTTCATTGAATTTGCAGAGACTATTGAACAATAAAATACGAGCAAAGGTTAAAGTTGAATGACAAAAGGAATATTTTTTCTGTAAACTGAATAAAGAGGATACATAAACAAATTAAAATATATATGCTAAAGCTACACACAAAACAAATATATTATGTAGTTTTATAAATATCTTTCTCCTTATGATACTGAATCAACTTTAAGAAATATTCTATAAACTCTACCTGTTTTGCAGTTTCTATTTTTAAGGAAAACTGCAAACTATGATGCTAGATCAGTATCATGAAAAAACATATTTTTTGGAAAAAATGACTTCTAAAGACTCTTATAACATTTTTATATGTACTTTAATAACAATACTTAAAATGTTTAACTGCGTAAAAAAACTGTACAGTTTTGTTTTAGTATACATATGTACAAGTTATAGCTAAACAAAATAAATAGAACCTTTATTAAATTATTTTGGCTTGAGATCTAAAAACAATGATTTTCTAATTTAGTTTAAACAAAGGTTTCACTAAAAAAAATAAAACCTAATATCTACTTATTATTTATACTACCTAAATAATTCAGTTAATTAGGTACTAGTAGTAATAAGTACCTTTTGAATTAAATTTTTTTTTTCAATAATTGACAAAATTAATAAATTCTGTATCTGACATTCAAATATATTGTAGAAGGGTTATAGTTTTGTGTAGGTAAACAAAATTACATGACAAATAAATCGTTACAGCCGCGAAAACAACAAAATAATGAAGAAAATCAGCAATTTGGAAAAAGTGCCTACACCACTGATCTGTCTCTGTTCGAATCAATATTTCTCAATTCCAATGATCAATTCTTCTTGATCAAATTAGAGGCTGTCATTTTGAGTGTTTAGCTTAGTGGTTGGATGTATTATGGGGTGGTTTTTTATTCTACACTAGGGTTCAATTCAATTGTTATATTTGTTTCTTCGCATTTTTAGCATAGTTGAAAAAAAATTGTTAACAGTTATCAAGCATGGTGAATCAAATTCATATTATTTGTAAAGCTTTATTGAAATATATATTCGCAAGAAATCTGAAATCGATCTGAGGACCAAAATCACCCAACTTTCAAAGAAACCAGCCCAATGTTATTATAATCACAAAGGATTTATATATGCCCTGTCAGATTATCAAAAGAAACAGGGTAGTAGATGAAGCTTGAGCAGGAAAAAATTTAAAAATTTAAAACTATTGCTGTGGGAAAAATGCGTGATGTTTTTGAAATCAGTAAATTTTTATATTATGTGCATAAGAGTTTGGCGAAATAAAATCAGAACAAAAATACTAGGTAAAATAGAATATAAACAAAGCTATAGATATTTTTAGATTTTTAGTAACAACTTTATTATTTGTGAAATAAATACATGATTTATGAATAATAAAAAAAAAAGGAAAACAAAAATATAACGAGGAAACAATACCAAAATAAGATGTTTATGCAATGTAGATGAAAATGATATATGTAATAATAAAAGTTGAAACAAACAAATAATAAAATTACACAACACGAAAAATCAACTAAAAAAGGGCGCATAATTTTTTACCAAGTGTTGGTTTGCAAAATTATAATATAAACATTTATGATTTTGCCTATTTTATTTTAACTCTAATATAATTTGTTATAATTAAATATGTCACCGGAAGTTTTCATTATGCGACTAATCCATGATGATACTAATTTTAAATTTCTGAAAATATACCTAGTCACACTACTCCCGTCCTATACTGGGGTACTTGATCTGAGAAATACAGGCTATATGGTCACAAAAACAAGTTTTCATGAAAATCTTGCTTGGAATGGCTCCAATTGTTGATCATGTAGGTCATAGAATTTGCAATAAAAAAGGTTTAATATGTTTATTTAATAGGGCCTTTCGGCACTAGCTCTAAGGAATAATGCAAGATGCCAATGATTAAGTACAAAATGTAGATAGGCTATAAGCAATTTACCAGAACTGACATGTTGAAAAAAGGAACTAAAGTTTCTCCAAACGTTCGATCAACTCTTCGGGGGCAATAGCACAAGTGCATCAAAATTACTGATAATTTTTAATGAAAACGTGTTTTCTAAAAACTGCACGAACTTATAACAGGCCAACTACAGGAATTCCCAAAATAGCTTGATAGACATGAATATGAAGAACACAACACGTCTTCCACTCCATCTATGGTGGCATAGAAAGAATGCATAGCTATTCAGAGTTCAAAGCATACTCTCTCTACAACAAAAGCTGTTGGTTATGCAAAATTAATTTTAAGACTTTTCTCACCGTGAACGTATCTCTAATAATCCAAAATAAGATCCATCGCCTGTTTTTGTGACCTTCAGCCTCAAAGGTGGAGTATTGTTGAGTCATCTATGAAGTGAATGTTATTATTCGAGAATATTATGCCAAAACTAAAATTTGTATGATCCACTGAGAAATCTCAAAATGCAACTTAATGATATATAATAATTCAGAAAGATTCCCAATGTCGCTTTGGCTAATATTTTTTCACTTATTATTTCGTATTTGAATCTACAATTACAAATACACAATAGTCAATAATTTACAAAATTTAAAAAATACTTAACATATTTTCTTAAAAAGATTCTACAGATATAATACAAATATAAAGTTTTTTTATATATAAATATGCAAAATCACTCTTCAGTTTAACAAAAAAAAAAAAACAAAATAATAAAAAGTGAAAAAATGTACATGATCCACTTCATCAAGTATCTAGTTAAAATACATGCCTAGGTACTGAGATCACAATAATTAGGATATTCGAAACAAGTTTAAATTGGGGACCAAGTTATGTAACTAGAATTTTTACATTCTGGCCTGAATTTGGTGATTGCTCTCGAGATCCTAATTAATAGTGGAAACCGAAATTAGGCAAAATTGGTTGACAGTTTTTATCCATGTCAGTATGCAAGAAACAAGAAATCGCCATTTCTTAATAAAACGCGGTTCTGTTCGCTCGCCCCGTGTGTACTGTGTGTATTATTTTGAAACAAACTTTCATCAAACCTTTTTTTGCTATCGAAAAGTAATTCTCTATCACCAACCTATCGTTGCCTAATTATATGGGTAGATGTTGGTTAAATGTCACTTTGTATGCATTTCTTTTCTAAAATTTGACATGTAAGGAGGATAAACTCGTACTAAATGTAAATTTACAATCCATATTTGGTGAACATAGACATAATTAGATGGAAACAAATGGTTGGAAAATGTTAAACTCTAGGAAACTTAAAGAAATGCCAAAAACCAATATTTGTACCTCAGACTTTACATACGTTATTTCAAGTCTTATGTTAATAAGTGGAGAACAACTAATTGGAAGTTTAAGATACCGAGTGAATGCCTAAGAAGAATCTGACACTTTTTTGAAACAAATATTTGCATGCTGACTAGAATTTTCAATGGCCTAATCTCAATTTCTAATAAAAAGCCAATTTAATTTTTTTTCATAATTATTCCAACTTGCACTATTAGCAGTAAACTAACAGTTCACTTAACTTATTCCCAAACATTAATTTGTTAACTTACATAGAGTCTAGATCTGTTTTGTCAGAGGAGGTAAACCAAATCTCTTTAAGGCCCAGTTTGACAATTGGTGTAACCTGCACTGGTTATCAAACTAATTGCGGGTTGACCACCAGTTCGCAAAATAAAGGAGAGTTTACACGGTGCAAGCTAGCAGGTCAGTTGAGAAGGCCAGTAACTGTTTGTCAGGTAATGTTATACTGTTAAACAGATTTGCCGAGTTACTATCTCTGCAAGGATAGGCAGCTAAAGACTATAGACTTTTTCGAGTACGTGATTTGGGACGCTAATTGGCTAGATTTTGGGGCCTCACTAGGGCCTTGGGTCAATCGTTTATATTGAGCGCTGGTCGACCGAGTCGACCCCTAATTTTGGCCAATCAGAGTCCAAAATCTCAGATCACGCACCCGAAAAAGTCTATAGACTGTATGAACGGACTTTACATTCGAGTAACTGCAATAGTTTTTGATTTCACTGGCCACTCGCTTTCACCTACTGGACATTAGGCCAGTAGTTCGCCTTATACCAGCCTAATTTGAACGCAGACTGCAGTTCCTGGTCAGGCAATGAGAAAATTCGCTGTGTTCGACGCGTACTTTTGACATGGTCACCTTTTAAAGATCTGCAAGCCCTCTGTCCAGGAACACATCCATCCATGCAGTACAGCGACTGACCTCGTCTAAACAGGTGAAAAGCTGACTATTTTTTTCTCCGCTCGCCATATACAGCTTCTGTGTTCTGGCCAGCTCAGCAACTCGCACTGTGTAAACTTCCTTTGAGGCTTGAGTTAAGACAATCTGAAGCTTGACCAATGGTTTTGGCTAAACCACACATTATGAAACAGATATATTGTGGGTTACCAGTGTCCTGTACTTACTGCTGTTTGTGAAACTGGCCCTAAGCAATCCCAACATTTCTTTAAGTTTGCTAAAGCAGATTATTAAATTAAACTTTCAATAATATGCAGTCTTCCAAATTGGATAATAAATATAGATTTATAATTAGTTTATTGTCCTTGATTTGCACATTTTCCAGCCTACTTTATTCATATTTCTAACCTTCTCAAATCATATTGGAAAATGTTTAATCAAAAATAATTATGTTCCTATTTACAGAGGGAATTGATGAACTATTTAAATTACACTAAAATGTAATTTTGAAGATTTAGCGCCGGTACTTTTGTTCTCAGTTTACGAATTTGACAGCCGTTAAAAATAATCAGGGGTTTGAATATGCTCTAACCGTATTATACACACAGACCTTCGCCCATGCAAAACCTTGTTAAATTCAACGACGTATCAAATTCGTTAATCGAGATCAAAAGTATCGGCTCCTAGTCAACCAATAATTGGTTAATATCAAATTTGAAGCTCATTATTACTCATAGATGTGAGGATATCTCCCAAAACATCATTTGAAGGTGGGGGTGGTAAGGCTTTTATCTTTATTTTAATTGGCTTCTTTTTGGGACTATCGGATCCTCTTCTTCCCTCTGTTAGTGACACAGAATTACTGATGGAATTAGCGTTATTACTCTTTAACGATGACACATCAGAATTATCCGATATCGAGGTTGATGAGGACATATCAGGTGCTGTTATAGGCTTTGTTACAAGCCTATCATCTGTTGAATTGACTGTTTCACTACTCAGTCTCCTGTCACTCAAATCTTTTCTTTTTTCAGAACGTCTCTTATGATTTTCGTGACTTTTTTCTTTCTTTTCTTTGTCTCTATGTGTACTAGAACTGTGATGCTTATGCCTGTCCTTACTTTTATGATAATCTTTATCCTTGTCATGATGTTTATGCTTATGCCTATGCTCCCTTCTATATTTATCTTTATCTCCATCGTTATGTCTATCTTTGCTACTATGCTTTTCTTTATTGCCACTAGTAATACTGCTATGTTTTAGTTTGTCTTGGTCTTTATCGAGTTCTTTACCACATATCTTGACTTTATCCCCTCCAATTTTAATTTTTAATTTCAAGTCCATGTTTGGTTTTACTTTTTCAACATTTTTAGCAGGATTATCTGGTATCTCAGCAACCTTTGATTTGTGACCATCATTTGCAATTTTATAATTATTTGTAACATTCTCTTTAGTTTCAGTAATTTCGAAATCGTAGTACTGCTTCAATCGGACATGCCATGCTAGAAAAAGAAATCTTGCTTTAACCAAATATACGTATATACATATAAGAAAATATTTGGTTTGATTTTCTATGCTTTTCCATCCATAGACGCGTTTCGACCTATCAGGTCTCATCAGTATGGCTAGGAAAAGCAAAGAAAACCAAACCAAGTTTCGTGCCTGTAGGCAATATATACATAGTACAACGGCGCCACGATCAAATTTCGACCGTTGTACTATATACATATATATATATTGAAAACAACATGACACAAAAGCATAATAAATGGCTCAAATGAAAAATTAACCGAAACCCTAGAATAAATGATAAATTTTAACTTTAATAGGAAATTATCGGATCACCTCTAAGATTAATTTTTCTACAAATTATAATTTATCTATTTGTCTACTTATTTGTTGTTTCAACGGGCAAATCCAAATTTACAAAACAAATACCAAACTATACTCAAATCAAATAGTAAAATACATTGAACTATAGTAGTGTTACATGCAGAAAGCAAAGAAAAAAAAATAGAATCAAATAAAAAGTATCTAATTCACTTAACATTCTACCACGACTGTTATTACCATTCAACATGGTTAAGTTGTTGCAAGAACACAGACAAATGATTCAAAAGAAAAATTATTGAGAAGGAACCAGTGTTTATATGAACATGAGGTGCCTGGAAGGTCATCAGGCTTCAAGTATGCCTTCAAAATAGTTTTAGTTTTGAGTTTGGAAATAAGGATTCCATAACACAACACAACACAACAACACCGCCAAACGTGGCAAAACTATTGTGCCTAATAAATCTCAAAACTTTAAGAGTTTTTCCTGAAAAAGAATCGTAATGCGAAAAAAAATGACAGCTTTCCATCAAATTTGACACCCAAATTATTGATAGAGCTCATCTGTTCCAATGTATGGACGGTTATAATGTACCGGAACAAAAAACGCCCATCAATCATGAAAATGATCCGCAAGTCCCTTTGCAATAACATAAAGTCATTTAAGTACACCGTCCTATATAGAAACGGATTTTACGCAATCAACAAATAAACTAAACTCAGCTCAGCAAAAGGAAAGCAGACCTATATTATCTATACATTCATTGAAGAGCAATATTGAAAGATGATCATCTTGAGGTACACCATAATGTTATTTATATTAGTATGAACTAAAATACTATCAAATACAATTTAATTTTTATGCATTGCTTCCTGTTAAAAAAGAAAGATTCCGTCGACATTGAGGCCACTAAAAGTCCATGCCATACCACAATTTCTGGAGCAGGATACCATGATTCAATTTTCTAGTGCCTCAGGAAAATTAGCTGCCGGATTCTATTTCACGAGTCGAGTCGAAATTCGTATCGAATTGTCAAAATAGCGATTCTATTTTTCGATACGTATTACACGGTACGTCCAGAGCTGTCATATTCGATATCGAGTGTCATAACAGGCAATACGACTTGACTCGTAAAATAGAATCCAGGCCCTGTATATATGTATATATAGAGTGAAGCAGACTTCTTTCCTCTAGACATCTATTATATAACCAGAGTAAATCATCAAATTTTAATTAATCGACTTTCCAATCTATGACACCATCCATCGATACTCTAACTATTCCAGTCACTTCCACAAAGCCATGAAAATCTCATCTTGGACTTCGGCAAGCACAGGCCGTGCTCGGCAGGAAATTAGGCGTACCACTACTCCATTTTATACAATAAGCTTTCAGTTGACCTCTCATCATCAGAACAACCCTTTGTCCTACAACATTTGCTGAATGGTATCATAGAATACACTTTGGCGCTAACTACCTTATCCTAGGGCTTCTAGTCTAGTCTTTTTTACATTTTAATTTTACTGTTTTCATCTTTTGATATTCTATTGTTAGATGTTTTCTGTATACCTAATACTCCTGAATATTTTTTATAGCGTTTTGTGTCATGCAATTTTGTATCAAAATATACAAGTTTAGATGGCTACAAACTAAAAAAAGTCGCTAATTGCTCAATAGAAAATTTATGAACTAAGTGATAAACTTACCAATACTGGTTACTGCAGTCACGGTTCTAAATTGATGAATAATATTCCTTGGCAGAAAATATATATCATTATCATACAAATCCACTCGAGCATATTCAATGCCTTCTCTGCGTAATTGATTTAACTTTGCGTCTTCAATCCACTGTACACACTGTAACAAAAAAAATATATATAATTTTCTTATTTTCAACCCCTATTTGTTGGGCTTGTCCACTCCCTCGACTTGGACTTGTCAATGATATCTCGTTCTGATTTCTTTAAAATTTGTAAACCATAGTTATTATTTTATTCATCATTATTATGGTTAACAGCACTAGGCGGATTTAAAATCCGACAAGGTCACTGGGGTTTCTTAGTTTTTTGCAGTTTGTATCATGTGTTCAGGGCTTGCACATCGATCGCCGACTCACACCATCAAAACCAGCTTCAAAGCATCACAGCTATGTTGAGCAAGGCACAAACATGTTCAAACTGTGCCCAGCCTCCATTAATTATTGTCTCAAACTCGTTTTCCAATTTGTATGTAACATCATATATTTTTGACTTTTATTTATTCATTTTAGTACAGTAGTTATTCCCTTACTTCTTTGGCAAAAATTCTATTGTAACAATACCAATATTTTGACTTTGATTATGCTAATGTATAATGCATCTATTGTCATATTCGTCCAAATAGAATTCTATAGCGGTTTCTAGAATTTCCAAGAAAATCCGCTTGTGAGCTGGTTTTTCAATGTCAAAACCAATAACAAAGTCACTATTCTTGAAACACTTAGTTTCCAAATAGAATTCTATAGAAGTTGACATTGACTTTACATAAATTCACTTATCGAAACGTGCAAGATAAATATTGAATTGAATATAATGGGATTCCCTGAAAAGACGCGCTACCCGACGTAAACAAGTAACTTTCTCAGAACCCTGGCCATCGATGTATTGTCTCAACAGTACATTTGATGCAAATTTATTTCTTTATACATGTCTAGAAAGTCTTCAGTTTTTTGTCAGGCGCATTTAATAAGAGAGAAGTTGAACTCTCCAAATATGAATGTAGGGTTCACAGAAAATGCAATCCTAACTGCATTAATAATTTATACATTGCAAATTTTGGTGGTATATCCAGGACCATAAATACAAGCAATGGTCATCTTAATTGTGCTTATTTACAAATCTAATCAATCTGAATTAACTGGTGGTTCTGTATTTGACTTCTCTGGCAACTTTGCATTTATTTTATGTCCACTTAGATGGCTTTTAACATAGACACAAACTCCACCCCCTTTCTGACTTATGTGATCTTGTCGAAAATGGCGAGAGACCGGTTTAGTTCTTGTTTATTTTAAAATTTGAACGAGTTGTGTATTTTAGTCGACCAAAGAAACAAGCAAATTACATTTTATTTAATCACTTTATTTTGGAGAGCATCTTCCTCTTCCAATTATATTATATCCAGTTCGTTGCACCCTCTCCTGAATGTTGTAGTCTATAGTTTTATCTATTTTTCCATAATCTGTTCATAGTGAGATTTCTTCAGATGTTGACAATCACCTTATTCAGTGCTGACAAGCTATCCTGCACATACACAAAAGTCCAAATCCTGTCTTAAATCAAAATGTTACCTATCATTCACAAAAACGCAAATAATATACCATATGTAGGTATATTGTTATGTTTTGCAAACATTTTTTTGTATTGCCTGATATAATTTAAAACCTTTCAATCCTACTTTATTTTATTGTAAACGATACTCACTTGTGAAATAGGAGGTTCATGCAAATCCAGTTGCAACTTTTCTGCCAATATGTCGAAATTTTTCGCAGAAAATGCTACAACATCTTTAGTTATCCTGTTAATGGGACCTTCATGTTTACCCCCGTGTATAGCTTTTAATATACCAACTGCCGCTGTGGTTTTTCTGTCAAGTCCTGCACCTACGTGATCCGCATGAGCTCTAGTTCGATCTTCAAATAAGTGCTCTCTGGCCTCCGACATTCGAGGCAAATACTGGAGATTCCTTAGTTCGTTTATGCCAGTTCTAAAAAAAGAAGAAATATATTGAAACTCAAATCAAATCAAATAGACTTTATTGTCAAGAGGTCACTACGAAAAAAAAACCAGAAAGTTGATAAAGGTATTGAATTAAAATATTGCCACCCCAATAATAAAACTGAATCCTTTGAAAATTATTGTTATGGAGGCCAACTAGGTATTTTATTGAAATTTTCTATAATTTGTTAAACAGCATTTTGTGATGGTTTCTGTTTTTGCGAATATCGAATGGAAAATGTGTCAAAATGTTCTTCATATTACTCTATCGCCTTCTCCACAATCTATTGAAGTAAGTCCTTATGAAAGGTTTTTGAATGTATTGTGACTGAAAAATTCTCTCCATGCTTTAGAAATGTTCTCTCGACTGCTCAACATGGATTCATTGAAGGAAAGTCAACTACTTCTAACCTCTTATTATATCCAGATAATTTTGTTAATGCTGTAGAATTGGGAACTAAACTATAGACTCCATCAGCACTGACTTCAGTAAGGCTTTTGATAAGTTTAATATCATCGGGATCATCGTACACCGGTGCAGCAAACCTGTGTGCTGTACCGGTCTACTATCATCCCGAGACATTGTACGGTTTTACAATGGATATATGCGGCACTAGTCTACCCGCGGTATTTATTTACTTCATGTCGCAAGTTGCATGTTTGAGGTTTCCTTGGTGTACGACCGCACTTACACTAACTCCGTCCAGGTTGGGTCGCATTTTGAGATGACAATTTAACAGGAGTCGTTGATTGGTGAACAGGTGGAACAGAACAACTTTTTTTTTGCGAGGTTCCTAATTTGCATTGAAAAATAATCTCTTTCCCCGTGTTAGAGAAAGATATGAAATAACACAAGACTTAATAGGTAGTGAGGGAAAATGCGTTTCCTGGGGTGTAGTCAACCTATTTTATAGTTTACAGTTCTGTCTATCTGTGTTAGTAGGTCACTAGTGCCAACTGTCGAACACAACAAACACGTGCATTTTTTTAAAAGGAACAGCCTGTATATTTTTGGGTAGAATGATACATTTTTTTTTTTCTGATTGATTGATTCAGCTGCTTTTGCGCTATTTAAGTTTGAAATTGCATTAAATTAGTAAAAAAAGAGTGTTAAAAGTTGATTAAATCACTGGAAGACTCGGTAATATAGTAACATATTTCTAATAAAAACTGTTTTTTATCACTTGAAGTCGCAGATGTCTCAGCATTAATATAAGAAACCGGGAACAGACGTAATTTAGGGTAATATAAATGCATCTTTAAACTTAAATAGCGCAAATACAGCCAGACCAAATATCAACATATACCTATATGTATATGGTGTATTTGGAATTAGAAAAAAAAATCTATCCATTCTAGCCAAAAATATACAGGTTGAACCATTTAAAAAAATGCATGTGTTTGTCATTATGACCGTTGGCACCTGTCATTTTTCAGTTTTGACACGTGCAAAAGATAATAGATATTTTTTTTCAAATTTTTTGTTTATTTGTAGAAGCCGCACTAATTATAAGAAACAAATTCTGTCCCTGTACAACATCCATAGGTAAATATTGCATGAATTACATACGCAAAAACATTTAAAATTAAAATTAACACAAGGCCTGAAGAATCTAAGACAATCATAAAACATCACTTCTCCAAGCTCCCGAATACCTTCCTCTTAGCATTCATTTGAAGTTGTTTATAGTCCGATATTGATTTCAATTTATTACTGGGGTGATTGAACATTTTCTTGCTTCCATAAAATATACACTGGCCAGCAAAATTAACGCACCACTACTATTTTTGAAAAATATTTTTTATTTCATAATTGTGATCAAATATTTTTATGTCTTGATTAAATATATTCTTATTCTGACCTAATAAGGGTATTAACAAAAGATAAAATTCCAAAAAAAGGTAAGAAAAAAAAAACAAGAAAATTAAAAAAAAAATTTTTTTTTTAACTTTAGTTAAAAATAATTAATAACCGGTATTTCCTCCTCTATTTTGAATAATAGCACGGCAGCAATTTTTCATTTTAAAATTACGGGCCTTATCTCGCTTTAATCCAAATTATTCAATATTTTGACAATATCTCCAGTAAGCCCATTCAAAGTGTTAGGAGGGTTAGGAAGCTCTTAAAAATGGCGACAGATCATGTCCCAGCCATCCTCAATGGGGTAAAAATCAGAACTGTTTGCTAGCCAATCCATAGTTCCAATTCCAACCTCATTAAAATAGAAATAAGTAAGTGGTGCGTTAATTAAAATTAAAGGTTGACCCTGTTTCTTTATGTTGTGAGATGTTGATGTATGTCCTCATGAGTCCGGTAGTCAGTGTTAAATTATCAATTATTAAATAACCTGGTTGAGTACCAATATGCAGCACTTATCAAGTTTTGTACAAGGTCTCATGGACCCAAGCCTCCAAACTTACACCTTACTAGCCATAAAGCCATAATAATATGTCCATGTTAGTATGGGTTATTGCCAAAAAAATTTGCTGTTATGTATTTGAAACGTCTCACCTTTTCCGTTTATTTAGTGATTTACTATCAGCTGTTGGAACCAACTGCTCTCCAGGTCTACACCAAATGATTGGACCATCATTACTCTCCGTTGGTTTCATTTGATCCAATAAGGATAAAGTTCCCCAAGGCATCGTCTGAAAAGACAACAAATAAAACATTCTACACCAATGGTAATCAAATTACTATACTAACCATTTGTAAAAATTGATTTTCTTCCAACAAATCTAGAATATCTGGAAAATAGCCTCCTACTTCCTCATGAGCGGTTCCAACTATACTAATTTGATGCAAAGGTCCAAATCTAACGGTGCCAGATGAGTAACTTTTGGAAACATTCTTATTATAAGCTGCCAGTGTAGTAGTTTCGATGTCTGAGCTTTTACTCAACAAACCATTTTTCACTGTTAAATTTGGATAATTTTCCGCCATATACTCTAATATATCTGGCAGGTATGAAGCAGAACCATGAATTATGGCAATAACAAATCGAGCGTGTCCGTTTTTATCCTCCTCGAATGCTATTCGAAACCATTCATGTGCTAGTTGTTTTAGTTCATCTGGGTTTAAATGCTTTATTTCATCATGGTACATTCGTAAAATACTAGCGCCGCCATTAGTATGAGTTTCCAAATGAAAATATTTTCTATACTTCAACGATGTCTAAAAAAAAAAAATTAGAAGTAAATTTTGGAACAGAAAAAAATTCAAAATCTAACAATTCCTTACTGTGTGTGACATTTAAACAAAGAAGTTGATGCTTATTTTTGGAAAAACACAGGTGTTCGACCGAAGCTCCAAAAATACTGCCAATACTCATACAATGAGTTTGCATTGATTTGGTCATGGCCAGATTGCACAATACGTATCTCTATAAAACAATAAAGACATCGGTATACAATTAGCGCCAGTACTCAATGATTGAGAATTTGGGTGAGTAAAACCACATGTATTGTGTAATTTGGCCGTGACCTGCATGACCACAGCAAAGTCAACTAATCATATAAGTAATTATAAGAGTGTTCGCAGCTTTGGTAAAACACTGCTTTGCTGAAGATAAACTTCAACTTTTTTTTTCTAAGTAAATATTATGCATAATAAGATAATATTTCACTTTTACCCTCTATATGCTATCAGAATTTGGCCTTAAGATTATTACTGTATTATTAAATTTGCTATTATTTTAGTTTTACATATTGTTAAATTTTTTAGTCTTATAAATGTGTATATTTTGTATCCCTTACATGAATGCTAGACTTGCTTGTATTAAGATGTTAGATTTAAGTTTCAATAAAATGTTTGTACTCTTAGACAATAAAGCATGTTTACAATTACTTATGTAATTAAATACCCAATTGACAAGTCCACAAGTTTTCAAAGACAGTTCTCAAAAATCTTCAAAAGCAGTAAATTTCAAAACTAGTTTTGCAGTAAGAAGCTTCGATAAGGTCCGAGTTATTATCTCTAGTCGCTTCTATAGTAAATAAATGGTGATTTCTTCTGATTTTTCTTTTGGTTGAAATAGTAAAAAATGACATAAGAAAAAAATAAATAAAGCAAATTAATTGTAATGGGTCAAGAGTGAAAAAACCTTCATAATCGAATACCTATACCTACTTATAAGTTTGTTTCTTCTTTTTGAATAAAACAAATATTAATTTAAAGACTCTTTTATAACAGAGTCGACTTATTATTATTTGTCTCAGTATCAAATAAATTAAAAAAAATGGTAGAGCATTTTAAATAAAATAAAGCTGGAAAGCTACTTACATCTTCATGTGAATAGCTATAATTTCCATTGGTCATCCGCCTTGGCTTCAAACTATCCCTATGATGTCTTGAACTACTTGAATGTTTTTTACTGCTACTTTTTGATTCATGCCTTCGACTACTACTGCTGCTATGCCGACGATCGTGACTATCTTTCGATCCAGAAGATTTCCTCTCAGGTCTAACCTCAGCTATAAGTTTTTTATATTTTGCAAAGTCAATTTTTATTGGGTTGACATCATTCGGCTCAGCAGAATGCGATCTCTTTATACCACGACACGCATTTGAATTTATGTCCAGTGAACGTGTTCTACTTTTCCTAGATGAACAAAATACCTTTGGACAGGAGGAAATCATAAAACGGCTTGCTAGCAGATTCTGGTTGATTTGTGTTTCAATTGCTTGACGATCAAGACCTTGCTTTCTCATTAGATTTTCATCAGATGTTGCCTGGCCTTTAACATCCGTTTCCAAACCGTCTTTATAAATGTCATCAGTGCTGTGTACTAGAGTTGCAGTATTGTCAGTATTATTGTCTTCTGGGTCACTTTTGAGACAATCAAGTGTGGCATATGTAGAGGAAACTTCGCATGTAGTTACGACCATGTTGAGTTTATCTATGTCCATACGGGTTACAGCCTGAAAAGAACATGGCATACAGAATAAATATTTATTACTGATATAAGTAATTCTTGCATGTTTTTGCAGCACAATCTGCCAGTTTTGATAATCTAATATGCCCACAATAATTCTAAACAAAGTGTGCATTTAAGATTGGAAATGGCAAGTGAATGGAAAATATTTCAGTTCAGTAAAATGGAAGCTGCTGTAAGATGAAACTTAGATATGATTATTGAAGATCTTCATACTCAGGTGTGTATAAAAGTACTGGAGGCGTAATAACAACATATATTTGATCTCCATTTCACTAAAATGGAAATATTTTACTTAGTAGCATTTGTGATATCAAAAAAAAAAGCATTTCTAGGCAGCAGATACTTGGTGAAAATTAAAATGAAAAAACAGAGTAAACTAACTTTTAGTGAAACTTCATTATATTTATAATATATAACACTTGTTAATGATTCGCCATACAGCCTTATAAAGCGAAAATGTAAAAAGTAGTGTTAATAACTATAGTGAAATTTTGGTAAAATTTAATTTTTGTTTCTTCCCAATCAAAAATAATACTTACATAAATACTATGACTTCCATTAGCCATCACGTTTGGCTTGCCCCGCTGTTTTGAACTGTGTTTGCCATGACTACTTTTTGAATCACGTCGGTGGTGTCCACTACTATGGCTACTATGCCGCCGATGCTTTGATCCTGATGACTTTTTATCAGACTTGGCATCGCTTTTTGAAAAGTCGATCTTTCTTACTTTCACATCGGTATCATTTGGTTCAGCAGAGTGTGCCCTTTTTATTCCTTGATTAAAATCTAAAACTGTGTCCAATGAATGTGTTCGACCTTTTCTCGGACAAGTTACCCCTTCAAAGATACCAAAAGTAGATTCAAGGTGCTTGCTAGATTGTTCTTCACTTGCTTCGAGAACTTCTTTTTTTTCTATTAGCAAATTTGTATTCATGTCTTCAAAGAACACTTCCTTTTTGAATTGTGGAGCAACAGTTTCAACTGGCACGTCATTATGTAATATTTCAGAATCACCAATTTTAGAATTAATTTGGATAGTGTTGTTATTCGCATTTAGTAATAATAATTCAGGTTTATCCAGACAAGTTCTATCACAGTCAGTTTTTGGTACTGATTCACTTAGGGCATCATCTATTACCTCTTGGGAGTCATTTGAATGTCCATACAAATCTTTCATTTTTACTTCACTGTTGTTCGATGCTTCTTCTGAAATCATACTGTAACATTCATTTTTTGTACTTTCTTGTTGTTCACCTCTTTCAAAAGTAAGTTCAGCTGCAGTATTCGTGGCCGATTTTGAGAACAAATTTGTTTGTTCAAAATTCGTGGCCCTCTTATATTTTCCGTTATCTGTAGCTGTAGTTTCTGAAAGTATAGTTTTTTCGTGAGACATGATGCTTTGTAGGAAATCATTAGACTCAGAATCGGCCGTTAATGATGAAGTTTTAGGAAGTCCAAAAATAACGGAATTACTCTCCGGATCAGGATTATTTATCATTTGTTTGTCAAAATGTTCTTGGCCGTTACTTAGGGGTACGAATTCATCAACTAGAGCATCCCCTACAAAAGAAAACTTACATTATGACACTAACAAAAATATAAACATTAGCTAGGTAATTACAACTCAAAGTTAAATTTAATAACATTATGTAAATATTTATCTTTACACAACTCGACTATCACACACATATATGGCATTACTTAATATTTAATGTAAGCCTTATGGGGAACTCTCAAAACCTTGAGTATCTGTGTTATTTAGAACATTGAACCATTAGCATTGGATAGAAAGAAAATGTGCTTTATTGTCTAAGATCTTACAATAAGTCTTGTTGACAAAGTACTTAAATTTATTTCTTAACTGCTGCCAGTGATACTATCAAGCTAAGTTTACAGAGCCTGAAGGCTTAAATTCAACAATACAATAAAGTTACAGAGAGCTAAAACATTATAGAAACTGTAACACAATTTTTGCCGATGAAATAGAAAAAAAGGGAAGAATTCAATCAACAGAAACAGCCAAAATGTTTCATTCATAACACAATAGGTCTAAAATTGTATCATAAAATTCATCCTAAGCATAAGAAGACTAACAGTTTTCTCCTAAAATGAGACTCTGCATCATCCTCAATTTCATTGGGAGAGAAACCGAGAGAGAAACATCATCTGCCCCAAGAAAAAGACTGCGTATGTGAGCTTGTTTTTGGATGTCGAAGCCAGTAATAAAGTCACTATTCTCGTATCGCTTTCCGTTTCGTAATGGAAAACTATAGAAAATTCTGAAAATTTTCAGAAAATTTGTTTGTGAACTGGTTTCTCGATTCCAAATGTGATAACAAAGTAACTTCTTCAGTTCAACAAAAATTCACTGATTAAGTATGACAGTTGGCACTTGGCACTTGTCATTTGCCCGTTTTGATATGTACAAAAGATAATAGAGATAAACCCTTCAACTTTTGTATTCAACTTTTTTTTTTGTGGCACTAGGTATCTCGCAATAAGATTTTTCAATTTATTAGATACCTCAAAATATTAGGATTCTCAGCATCAGCCAGTTCAACATGAAAGTTTTCTGATGGAAAACGCTTTCTACTCACATGAGGAGTATTTTGCTTCTGATTTTATTATGTAACCATTTTTTCTATTTTATTGTATGACCATGTGTTCTATTTTATTATTTTATTCTAGTGTCCAACCCTTAGATTGTTAACTTATCATTTTCACATCTGTCAAGATCCACGAAAATATGAAAGTAATATTTCAGAAACCTGACTTATGAACCATACAAACTTTGACCATACATTGATTAAATTATTGGAAAATTCTACTACATTATTATCAAGATTATTAAGTATTTTATCACATTTTCTGGAAATCCCTCAAGAAATCATTTTGACAGTATCTCAATTATTTTGACAGACCCAGACCCAAAATCAGCAGGAAATCTCTGACAATCCTTGGAAATCACTGCGATTTTCATGGCGATCCTCTACAGTCACCTTAAATCATCAGACAGTCTCAAACATCGCAGCGACTGCCAGAAAATCCAAGGATTGTCGCAATATGTGTACATTTTTTGGAAGACCGGTCACCCCCTCGGTGGTGTCGGCCGCAAAGAGTCTAAAGGATAACGCACACCTAACCTGGGATTTTTGGGCACTATGGATTTTGCCTATTTTTGATATGTTGTAGAGGATTTAATTCTTAACAACCTTTAAATGGGACGAAATCTTATAGGTATTACGGTCTTTGAGATATAGCGTTGAAAGATGAACTTTTTTGCGATTTTTTGTGTGGAGAGTCTTCGAAATACTGGTGCTACTGGTGTTTATTAGGCAAAATATCCAAAATATTGGCAGGTTCACATATTTTACGTCACTAACAAATTAATGTACACATAGGCTAAGGACGGGACCGCACTGGGGTCAATGTTGACATTTGTTAGTGACATAAAATATGTGAACTTGTCAATATTTGGACTGATAAACACCAGTATTTCGTATACTCTCCACCGAGGGGTGTGACACTTCCAAGTATTTTGTACGCCTGATTTTTGATTTTCATTACTTTAATGGAAATCAATGAAACCAGAAGTTATATTTGGTAAAATTTCATGATTTCAATCGATTTCAACGATTTCCCCAGAATATTTGATTTTACTTGATTTTGCTAATTTCACTTGATTTTGAAAATTTCATTGGTTTCCCTGATTTACACTGATTTCACAAGAGTAAATGGGATTTTACTAAATTCACACGGATTTCATGATTTCGGTACTCATGTATTTATAGGTCCAGATCTAAATTATTGTCAATGAGTCATGCCATTACCATTAGCAACACTATATCAAGTTAGTGACATCATAATGAAGTCGAAAATTTTTACGGTGCCAATACTACCGCTCCACAAAAATTACACCATTTTGTGAGTGATTTCGATGTTGGCGAGGATCTTGGGTATAGGCGAGGGTATAGCTGACCCAAAATGTGTACACCGACTGCCAAATTCCACAATCTTCAAGGGTGCAACGGCAACAGCATTCCATGTACAAGGTGTCCCATTTTGGTTGTAGGTACATAAGGTATAAATCTCAGTTCCTGTTGGAGTTAGAAGGATGCGGTTTTTGCGAACGTTGGCTACTTTTCTGTCAAACAAAAGATGTTGTCAACAAAATTATCATCGCTCTTTTCGTTTTTCAGATAAAAATTTGAAAATTTTCCTTTTTGGACACCCCTTGTATCTCGGTTCTCTCATAAGTTATCAAGAAGGTGACAACTGGTTCTTATAGACCTTTCTAAGTACATAGAATCCAGTGGCAAAGTCAGTTTTTCTCTAGAAGTGATAGTTTTTGAATCATGAACCAACCATACGTTTTTTTAAATGAAACACCCTGTATAATAATAACTCATTGGATAGCTCTGCTTTTGTTGATTTCAATGTCATAAAAATCTATAGGTTTGTGTCTATTACCTATGTCTGTTTTTGTCATAAGAAACAATGTTTCAAAAAAGGACATTGCATCTGTAAGAAAAATCTGAAAGGTCTCTTTCTAACACATTGATTCTTATGACAAAAACAGATCAATTTTTGAAGTGAATACTTCTTTGGCCGCATGAGAGTGATTTTTCAAGGTCGCGTCACGACACGATTTATAAAATTTTTTTCTCGCAAGTGAGATGAAGCATATGATGAATATGAGGGAGAGAGAGTAAGTATTCACTTCTATCACGTGTACTGTGCTGCACGCGACTTTTTTTTTTGCTGAAAAACTGTTAGGGACTTGGTTAGAGATAAACCTATCGAACTTTATATCATTGAAATCAGCAAAAGCAGACCTATCCAATGAGTTTATAATATATAGGGTGTCTCATTTGGAAAAACGTATGTTCGGATTGTTTGGTTCATAATTTAAAAACTATCACTTCTTAGCATTTAACAAAACTTCGGATGGAAAATGCAGCCCTGATGCAATTCTGACGCGTTGCTATGACAAAAGTGACAGACTCTCAGACAGAAGTGTAGTAACAATATGGCGGAAGTGAATACACTTTTTTTCTCCTCATTTCGCCTCCTTATTATTCTACCTCAATGCCCAAAATGCAACATTTTCATAAACTTGTAGCTAAAAAACAGAAAGGGCAATGACAAATCGGCTGGCGCCATCTTTCGTTTGACAAAAAAGTAGCCAGCGTTCGCGAAAACCGCATCCTTCTAACCCCAATAGCAAAGGAGTTAATCTCAGAGTTACCTATATTTTTCAATTTTTAGCGTGGTTATTTTTATTTTTGGGAAATAATCCATAACAAGACCTTTTTCAAAAGACAGGCAACCAAAGAAACAGCGGGGTGCTGTTGCCACCTCAAAGAAATTTGCTAAGATTATCAATGATTGTGCGAGTGATTGTGTATGATTGCGAATGATTGTGTCACGATTGTGAGCGATTGTGACTGATTCTGTAAGATTGTGTAAAGACATAATAATTGGGTTAAAGCTAACCAATCTCGAAAACAACAAAACATGAAAGGCGCGAATTTTGAATATTTTATTGGTAGAGGCACTGCTTTAGAAAACAACGATTTTAGGATTTCAAATAAGTTTATATGATTTGTGATGATTTTGAGTGATTTACAGAGATTTTCTTGATTTCGATTGATTTTTCGGATATAATTGATTGCATTGATTTCAATGATTTTGGGGATTTTTCAAGATTTCATTGATTTTAAGGGATTTAATGTGATTTCGCTCGATTTCACAGATTTCAATGATTTCTATTGATTTATGTAACAATGTGTACACTTGGCCAAACATAAAACTGGTACGCATTTTCTTATTGTGTTGTATTGTGTAAATCGACCTTTTTTATCACCTCAACAATGACAAAAAGAGTCAAGTCAGTATTATATTTAAACCAATCATAACATAAAAACATGTTGCATTCACTTTTGTTCAGCTTTGACATTGACAAAAACTGTCTAGCCTAGGTATGTTTTTCAGAAGAGACTTTCTGTTGTTAAGCCTGATTCACACTAGGCAAATTTGAAGTATATATTTTGCCTGTACCAGTTTCATGTTTGGCCAAGTGTACACCTGATTTCAGGAGTGTCACACCCCTTGCTCTCCACACAAAAAATCGCAAAAAAGTTCATCTTTCAACGCTCATATCTCAAAGACCGTAATACCTACAAGATTTCGTCCCATTTAAAAGTTGTTAAGAATTAAATCCTCTACAACATATCAAAAAATGGGCAAAATCTATAAAGCCAGAAATCCCATGTTAGGTGTGCTTTATCCTTTGCCACTAATATCCAAGGTATGTCTTAACATAATAAGAGGAACAAAATTGGTCCAAGAACTGACCCCTGCAGCACTTCACATGCCTCACTACCGAGATCAAACTTTTACCCTACAAAAGAAAACATCTGAAACTCCGAAAGATAGGAGCCAAGCCATCTCAGACACACCTTGACACCATACAACTCAAGTTTCTAGAGCAGTCTACTTGGCAGTATATCATGATTACTTACAAACAGAACGATAAAAATAATTTAACTCATTAGTAG